TTCAAATCACCTAACTGCTCTCTTCTCAAGGGTGCCGAGCGAAAGTTGCGAGACGAAGACAAGCGAAACCAAAAACGCAAACTAGCAGGTAACCACTGTGGTGAAACAAGAGCGTTGTGCCGTTTTCGCAGTGGTGCGCCCGGTGTCCCATTGAACAAGCCTAGTACCGTAATCGTAACACCGTAATGTCGTCGATTGTGATCGTGTAAGGCGCGAAGCCAGCATTGTGTCAGTTTTGTACTTAGCCATTAGCTCTCAGCCTCAACGGTCTTCTCGTAAAATAACCCCCCGTACAGTGCTTGTGACGATGTTGTGCTGTGATTAGTGTCGTCCCCGTGGTGTCGTTCCCATCTTCGTCTAACCCGCTTCGCTTTTAGGGAGCTAACCGGAAAATGCTTCATGAAAATAGACGAGACGAGAAGAGACGAATTCAAGGTACAATCCATCCATCTAATCCGTGTTTTATGTGTAACTAGACCTGTGTAACGTTGAGTCGGGGCAACTTTTTGTGTCTCTAGCGGAGAGGAAGAACAGCGTAAGCAAAAGCAGCACTTACGCTACTCTTAAGGAGAGTGATCAGAATGCAAAACAAAACCAACGCACAGTCAAATAACAGACGGTTCCACTACCTGCTCGATTGAGACAGCTATGTAGTAAGCAAGAGAGAAACAAAATATAATAGTTGAAGCTAGAGAGAAGAAAAAGTTAGCTTTATTGGCTATTTACTACTACAGAGAAGACTCGATAACGAGATAAGAAGACACAGAGATCAATCAGATTTCAATTTTCAACAAAAATTCTTTTCACTAAGTATTTTCTGCAATAGCAGGTTTAATAAGCAAAGCATGTCGTGCCCATATTGAACATAAGATCGACTTTCTTTGTTATAGCACATATTTAGAATCATTGCCGAATTTAGCCTAATATTCCAAAATTTCACCGAGTACAAGTTGTCTTCTGATCACTATCCATTTCTGTAGCGTTGCTGTTAATATTAATAGGCTGTATGTGTCCACTCCTCGACTTCAAGTATCTCTACTTCAGATTTTGCAGGAGCTCTGTCCGGTAGAAAGAAAACAGATGGTGAATATCATGAGCCGTGTGAACGCTCAGAGTTCTACCATATGAGGGAGTTGGACAAGCCAGCCGCCCTTTTCATCGCTCCTGACGAGTACGACTCACGGTACTTGGACGGCTCATCGTTAGGCTACGATGGGTTGTCGGACATGGAGCCCATTGCGAAGCGACCGCGACCTTCTGAGCGGAGTGAGTTCTCGTCTCAGGGCGCCTAAGTGCTTCGCCATAATCAAGGGTCTATTTTAGTAATGTTGTATGTGCGGAAACGAGACGACCAAATTTACACCCCGTTGCACGTGATTCCCCCGTCACTGGACGGTTTGGCTCAGGCGGTCGCGCATAAGTTCGGAATCGATTCGCAAAAAGTTTGTGGTGTTTCTTTCGTTCGCAATCGAACGCACACTTGTAGTTGGTACTCAGCCGTAGCCCCTTTGCAGATCAGCGGCGTGTACAAGCGCTGCGCAAAGGGAGTGACGGTGAAGATGGACGACGATATGCTGCGCCACTACTGCAATGAGGACACCTTCATCCTGGACGTCGAACCGTCACCCGAAGATTCGTCCTGTTTTGCCGCCACACTCGTCGA